GTAGCATTCCTAAGTTATTGGGTCCTTCACCCACCCACTTGAGCCGACTCTGAGCTCCTTCCTGGACTGCATCTTAGTTTAATTGTCTTTTCCTGTTTCTCTTCACAATCCAAATGTGGCCTGGAATGGTTTACAGGCAGAATTATACGGTGCTCACAGTAAAGCAGTAAAGAAGAAGCAGAAGATGCAGTTTTCTTTTTACAAACATAGTATCTGCTAACTGTTCTCCAATTAATAAACCAAAAGGAATGCACAGAAGCAACACAAACCATCACTCAAGGACTGAGTTACACTGTTGCACTGTCATTCACACTGGCACTGCTCTGTAGCGCCTATTCTCTCTAGCAAATACCCCATTACTATGCCCAACTCATAGACTAGAAACAACCGAGACTAGAAAAGTGGCTTGTAAGTCAATAAATTAAAGGTCTAGGATTAGAACCCAGGGTGTCTACCTTTTAACTCAGACTCTTCGTATCCCAGAACTCCAGAACTGAGTAACTCTACACAAGACACACACATTAATAGCACATACAAACAGAGGATTCATGGAGGAGATTTTCATGAAGCCTCAAAGGTAGGAAAGGCTGGGATTAGGTAGAGGGCGAAGACACTCCACGTGTTCTGTGTTTCTCGACAGGAGATGGGGCGGTGAGAAATAAAGTCCTAATGGGTGAAACATCACCACACCGGGCAATGCCTGCATTTCACTTACTGCGCGTGCTGTGTGGAGTTTCAATGCTCCTCAATGTAAATGGTGGCTCTAGAGCACAGTGCTATAGTCTTCAGTGTAACTAATAGCACAGATGCACGGATGCAGTGCAGGAAGGTCCCGAGAAACTGAGTTTCCCTCTCAGGGTTGGGTTACATCATGGTAGAGAGTTTGGAATGAGCCAAAGGAATCTGGGCCCACAGACCACAACCTGTGTGACCCAGAATCTTCCGCAGATTCCTGTTTTCTTTCCATAAAAGAAAAAAAAATAAGAAAAATAATTCACTATTTTCTTTTCATCTTGGAAGCAGTTGATTTCTCTGATACACTATAAAGTTGGCATGCAAGGAACATGGACAGTGCGAGCAAGGCCTGGGATGGAACTACTGGGAGACTCGAAGTAACTTAGTAACAAGAACATAGGGCTAGTGGAGGACAGCAGAAATAGAAAAGAAACAATAAACGCGGGATCCGTTATTGAGGGAAAGCCCAAGTATTTGGTCACTAAGAAAAACCTCCAAAATCAACCCTGAGTGGCTGCAGGCATGGCAACCCCATGGAGAAATGGGGAAGTGAAGGCAGACCATGATGTAAGAGGAAGAATTCAGCCTTGGCCTTGGCCTTACCCTGCTTGGCTGATAGTGAAGTGCAGGAGTTAAAAGTCTCACACTCATGGGGGCAAAACAGACCAGGAAGCTGTGAGTGACCAGAGATCGGGAGATAAGTGAGAACCACCGGCCTCAGGGAGGTCATGAACATCCGAGAAAACAAACACAAAAGCCTTTACAGTGCACCGGCCAAGAACATCTTTTGGTTTTCTAGCAAAAGAAATGAAAGCCACATGGTATTAATGAAATGACCTCACCTTCTTTTATAAGAAATGGATAGAGTGAAAGCTAGTCATACATACTGATAACATTTCTTAAAATGTCTCTCAAACCAAAAGATTAAATTCAAGATCCTTCACCTTTTCAAACATATTTTTCCATATTCACATCTATTCTCTTCTACTCCATGGATTATATTATGGTTATTCTGTGCTGCAGCACTTTAGCTACAATGAGACTACATTTCCCAGAATCCCCTTCACATGCAGTTCCTAGTGATAGTTTTCAGGAAAACAAATCAGCATGAGTTTGGAAGCCCAAAGTAAAACCCCAAGCCAAGCTTGTTGGTTGGTGCAAGGTCCTCAATACCATCATGCCTTTGGCCACTGGGTCCCCTTACAGGTAGTAGGAAACAGAAAATTTGAACAGATCTGCTTTTAGAACTTCTCCAAGGCCAAGCATGGGAGAAACATAGCTATTTCTCTGCAGATAGCCAGTGTCCTCAGAGCTGATGTGGGCATTGGAGCTGGCTGCCGTTTCCTCCCATACAATCCTAGTTTGCTGTGGCAGTTCAGCTGATTTTGCTTCTTCCAAACTGACTTAAGCTCCTCCTCTGCCCTGCAGATATTCCAGTATGACTAAATAAAGAGGCCACAGCCTTCCACAAATGTCTCTACCAGCTTCCGTCCAGGGCCCTGATTGCTAAGCCTTTTCTGATTCCTCTCCCTAACCTTTGCTTCTTCAGTTACCCAGTTATGTGATGTCTGACCCTATGAGACATTCATTACAGGCTGGGGAGCTGGCTCACTGAGTAAAGCATCTTCAATCCCAGTGTTCATATGATAAGATGCAAGGTAGAGGCAAGAGACTCCCCAGATGCTCATGGATCAGATGGCTTGCAATATGCAACTGCAAAGATACCCAAGAGATTCTGTTTCAAACAAAATAGAAGGCAAAGGCTGCCATCCAAGGTTGTCCTCTAATATCTACATGCATGCTGTGACATACACGAACCAGCACTCACACACAAGAATGCAAGAGCACATGTGAATACATGCACATACGTTGCACACACACACACACACACAGTGGTAGGATATAATAATAAAAAAATCCCATCTGTTTATCACCTAGAGTGATCACACTCTACTGCAATTACCTGCATGGCCATGAATGACCCAGGCCCTTCTCCACCTGACATTCCTTTAAATGCTGTACTGTGCGCACCGTGCTGATTCTGAAGGGATCACTAGCTACGAGTAAAGTATGGTGACACCCTCAAATGAATCTCAGTTTTTAACAGTCGTTGTGACAAAGGAGGAGTCGACATTAAAGCATAGCCTAATATAAGGTCTGGGGAAACCGTAGGCTCCCAGAGCCTGACCCAGAGTATCACCACAGCACCAAGAACTACACAGCTCCAGCTGATAAGGAGAGAGAGAGACCGAGAGAGACAGAGACAGAGAGACAGAGAGAGAGAGAGACTGAGAGAGAGAGGGAGTGACAGAGACAGAGAGAGGAAGAAGTAGTAGAGGGAGGGAGGGAAAGAAGGAAGGGGGAGAGAGACAGACAGAGAGAGAGAGAGAGAGAGAGAGAGAGAGAGAGAGAGAGGTCTAGCTTCTTTAATCTTTTGTTGTTTTGGTCTTTGAACTTGAATTCTAACTGATGCAAGTATTCAATATTTTCTTAAGTTCAGTTATCAAAGTAAATGTATATCAAAGACTTTTTAAAGAAATCACTATTCTCCTTTTTTCTGGCATAAATTGCCGTAGAAAAAGCACAAGAGTATTAATTAACTGAGATCGAGTGGCCACCTCTGCTGATGATAGGAGGCCAACATGGGGAATGTACCGTAGGCTAGTTAACTAGTCTCCTGGAAGATGAGAACAAGGTCTGATCTGTTCATGACTATTTCCCAGTGTGAGCGTGGCTCCTAGTCAGTAAAAATCAAGTCTCCTGACAGACATCACCTGAACACATAGCTAATGAGTTAGCAATGGATGGTTAGAGCATGCTTTCTTTCTAGAAATCCCTCCACATGGTGCCAGACACTGATATTCCTCCACAGAATCCCTTCATCATTGAGAAGCCTCTGTGTGCCTCTTGGTCTGGGACAGTCAACAGTTCCCTTTATTAGAGAAGTCGTATAACCTTGATCCTTATAGGTAGTTTCAAAATTAACGCCACTGAATGGCAGGATTGAAGAGGGGTGGAAAGAGGGAGGAGAAAGAGAGGAAGTCAAGGAGAAAGATGGAAGTTGTAGGATGAGAGAATCCAAGACGGGAGTGTTAGAGAAACACTACCCTTGATCTTAAGCTTTTTTTTTCTCAGTGACATGTGCAAACGGTCCTCCACAATGCCCCCTACAAAAAGGTTGAGACTTATTGTGAAGGGAAAGACTAAGCCAGGCTTTGGTGGCGCACCCCTTTAATCCCAGCACTCGGGAGGCAGAGGTAGGTGGATCTCTGCGTGTTCGAGACCAGCCTGGTCTATAAGAGCTAGTTCCAGGACAGCCTCCAAAGTCACAGAGAAACCCTGTCCCAAAAGACAAAAACAAACAAACAAAAGATTACAGAACAGAAATAAACTATCTTAGCAAGTCTGTCTCTGAGTTTAAACAGTACAAGTCTAGAAAACAAAAGAACCTTAGGCCCCTGTAAATTACCCACTTACATTGTGTTGTGTGGGACTAACCACACCTTCAATCTCCCATTTAGTGAAAAGAGCAGGAAATTCCCCCAGGAAATTGCTTTAGTAAATAAAATTTACTCAAAGAAATGATAAATTCTTCTTCCTATCTCATGATTTGCTTCTTATTAATCATGGAACACACCAATCATTGTGTCTTTCATAAAATCTAAACACTTAACTGTTTTTCCTTTCACCCATAAAGAGATTCATGTAATACAATGCAACCTCAATAAAGTTGCACTCATAAAACAATATAATACCTTTGAGCAGTGAATTCCTTTCCAGGTCTGATTCATCCCGGTCAATCATGCTAAAGCATGTTCACATGTGAGAATAGTGACGAGTAACTAATCCTTTGAACAAATATAGGCTTTGTGCTTTTCAAAAGCAAGTACACACCAGGCACTTTTCCACATTTGCAGGACCTCAGGTACCATTTGTATGCTCATTGGCTTCTTGTACTTACATGTAACAGAATTCTATCTGAGTAGACTGCTTGAATGGATTAAAGGCAATGCAAAACAACCATCAACTGAAGGAGCAAAGGAATAAGAAATGAAGCACTACCAGGCGGTGGTGGTGCACACCTGTAATCCCAGCACTCGGGAGGCAGACATGGGAGGATTTCTGTGAGTTTGAGACCAGCCTGGTATACAAAGAGAGTAGCCTCCAAAGCTACAGAGACACCCTGTCTTGAAAACCCAAGGTAGATAGATAGATAGATTAGATAGACAGATTAGATAGACAAATAGATTAGATAAAGTACTTACTGGGTCCTAGACCAATTGAAAAAGCAGCAACATAAACAAGCAAGCTGGCCAAGGACAGCCATTTGTAAGCAGCCGGGACAACTGCAGGGTCTGTGGCTATCTGGTGTTCAGTTTGGCTCAGTCCAGCATTTGGTAAAGATGTGATGGTCAACTCCCCTTTCTGCTCCATGCCATTTTCCATGGGCACAAATGAGCCCCTGCTGTGGGGAGTGACTCCTTTAACGTGTTCCCTGAGACTGCTGTTGCTAGTTGACAGGTTCCCTATTGCATAGAATACAGGCTCCCCCAGAGACTGATTAAGAGGACTATGGCTTCTGCAGATATTGGTGAGACTCATGTTGATGTTGAGATTCACAACGCCCATGGTCAACAACGAAGCAGCCATCACGGAGGAGCCAATGCAGAGGAAGGTTTTGCTACCAACATGGTCCACAAGGAGGGTTGCTGGGATGGTGCTAACCACCTTGACCACTCCAACTCCAGTGGAGGCGAGACTAGCTGCCTCATTGCTTTGGAAGCCAACAGACTTCAAGACAGTTGATGCATAGAATAGTATGTTTGGCTGGCCAGTGGTTTGTACAAAAAATACCAGCGTCAGGCCTATCATGATTCGTGTCCTCATGTTGTCCTTGGAGCGAAACAGGTCCCAGAAACTATACTGATACTCATCTTTCAAGGAAGATTTGATCAAAGTGAGCTCTTCCGTGGTGTCTGAGATCACTCTTAGCTTCCTGAGAACTTTGCCAGCAGCCTCCTCCTGTCCTTTCATCACCAGAAACCGAGGGCTGGGAGGAAGAAAGTACATTGCAATTGCTTGCAAAAGCCCCAAGGGAATCACAAGTCCAAACATATACTTCCAACCATTGGAGACATTGGCAAATGCATAATTTGAAATATAGGCAAAAAGGATTCCGATGACAATCATCAGCTCGTTCAGGGACACGAGAAGGCCTCTTCTGTGTTGGGGAGCGATCTCTGCAATGTACACGCACGTGGCAATGGATGACAAGGAAATGGAAACCCCTATAGCGATGCGGCCCATGATGAGAACCATGTAGGACAAACTCATTATCAAGACCAAGCTTCCGAGTCCTAGAAGACAGGATGACAGCATGATGGTGAGCCTTCTTCCATACCTGTCTATCAGCACACCTCCAGTGAGAGAGGCCAGGAAGGCCCCAATGAGGAGAGAGCTCACAACCATTTCCTGCTCATGGCAGGTCAAGGCTAATAGGGTTCTGATCTGAAGGAGGGCTCCAGAGATGAGTCCAAGTTCATAACCCACCAGGAGGCCGCTGATGGCTGCAGTGACAGATGTCAGGAAGGTAAACATGCTGCAACCTGCAGGCAGAAAAGAGAAACCACGAAGTCAGTTCAGAGAGGTTATTCCAAACATACCATATCCAAATGGAGACTTACCTTTGGGTAAGACTTTCATAACGCTGACTTTAGACATGCATACGAACAACCATGGTAAAGTAATACACCATGGTAAAAATAATACACTAGCCAAAAAATGGTAATTAACAACAGAAGGAAAAATCATTTTTTCTGTGTTGTTTAGGAGGGGTGTCATGGAGGCGTTTATGAAGTCTGGCTTCCTGCTGGCCAGGATGTTGGTGTTGTTTTTAGTCAAGAGTTAAGCAGCTATGCAAGATAAATAGTTGGCAGATGATAAAGACTACACAAAAAGATTACCAGCTGGTGTGTGCCTTTGGCATTGGATTAAATATCCTGATAGCCTGGTTGTTGAAGCCCAACCCAGTTCTCTAAAGACAAGCCTTTGAGGGCAGCCGGGAGGGAAGGGACCTCTAGAAAGAGGTGTAGGTTCCTGGCTATGGAACCTGGCTATGGAGCCCCGCAGAAACCAGCCCCAGTCTCTGGCCTTTGTTCCTGAGTGAGCACCATTAGGCTGTACTTGGCCTTTGCCAATGCTCATGGACATCTTTGAACCAGGAACAGAAGTGAGAGCAGGAGGTGGATGAATGCTTGAACAGAGGCAAGGTTGTATTGGGAATAAGGAAGGGAAAATGGATGCAGGGCAAGCAACCCACAATGCCTGTTGCTCACGAAAGGAAGAAGAAAGGCGGGATGCAACAGAGGTGAATAAAGGGGAATTGGAATTCTTTTTAATGATAACCTAGGGGAGAAAGTGAACAGTTAATACTTTTCAGTAACGGATATACAGATATACACACGCACATGCGCGTGTACACACACACACACACACACACACACACACACACACACGCATATGTATCTTTGCAATGTGACAAGACCAGAAGAGAACACACAGCAAGTGGTAGCAGGAGTTATATATAGTGACAGCCATTTGTAGGACAGGACAGAGAAGCGCTTGTCATGTCTCAGGTACAGTAAGAAGGACAGCATACATTGTGTGTGGCACATAAGCCTGCCAGTAGGGAAAGGCAGAGAATTTAGATAGTTACAGAGGACCCCTGTGTGTAGGGAAGAATTCATGGGGGACACCTTTCATTGTGTTCCGAGGATAATGGCTACACACCCACTGAGTTAGTCAAAAAGCATAAGCGTCGCAAGCTTTCTTGGCTTGGGAGGTACTAATGCTTCCGTAGGGAGACGAGGTCTCCAGGACCAAGACTGGTCACTGGTCCCAAGGACATCACAGACTAGAGATGATGTCCGCTCAGACTTGAATGCTCAGGCCAAACAAGTGTCCATGGCTGTAACTTCTCATGAATTGAGGTGAACTAAGCAAATGAGTTAGTACCTCAAATGCTGCTTTGGTTGAACAGTTCTCTACTTCTATAATACTCAATATACGTATGCATGTTTATATAGACTGCCTGGTACAGCATACTCTTCTAGCGATGGTCAGGAACAGAACTGTTTGTGTGTAGTAACAAGAGACATGAACATTGGAAGCTTTACTTTGGACTTACTGAAACGTTTTCTTCATTTACCCTGTAAGGTAAGAATGTCCGAGAGGAAGCTGAGTATCTGTCTATCTGAGGCACCTGGGGCCGATCAAGGCTGGAGAGATTAGTAACGGTGATGTTTAAAAGCACGGGAATAAGTAAGATCACTTAGGAAGACAGAATGCAGGAAAAGAAGTGAGGCTAAGACTGGGACCTTGACACCTCCAATACAAGGGCCAAGAACAAATGTGGAAAAGTGATAAAACGGAGCCGGATAGGCTGGGAACAAATGTGTGGGCACAGCTAGCTTAGGCTGAGGTAAGGCTATCTAACCCTGCCTGGTTTTAGAAGAGAGCAGGATGCCATTTAAGAAAGCCATTCCACCTGGGCACGGTGTTGTACGCCTTTAATCCCAGCACTCGGAAGGCAAAGGCAGGCGGATCTCTGTGAGTTCAAGGCCAGCCTGGCCTACTTAGCTAGAGCTCCATAGAGAAACCCTGTGTCAAACAAACAAGCAAAAATAAAACAAAGAAAAACCAAACCAAAACTAAACAAACAAACAAACCAAAAAACTATTCAGCTGTCCTGAGGTAAATAGGTCAAACTAAGGTGATCCAATCACCTCACATCACAGACAATCCCAGCATTCTGTGCCACTAGACTTTAGTGGCATATGTGAAGGGGACAATTAAAAACAAATAAACTGAGGCTAATGGTGTGAGCCCGTTGGTAGCATGCTTGCCTAGCATGCTCACAGCCTGTGGTTCAATCCCCAGCACTCCAGAAAAGTTGAGTTTGGTGCACATGCCTATAACCCTAGCATTCTGGAGGTATAGGCAAGATGATCAGAAATTCAAGGTCATCCTTGGCTACACAGAGAATTCAAAGTCTGCCTGGGCTACAAAAGGTTATGCCAATAAATAAATAAATAAATGAAACCATGAATAGTAAGAGATTTGAGGAAATAATAAAATAATCAATCAAATAAGACTGACTTGTAAGAATTAAACCATTAGATTAAAACTGAATCAGCAATTCACCTAGCCAGAAAATAACTATGAAGCACCATTACATAGCAGGCACTTTTCTCAGTGCCAAAATATATACAAGTACACATATAGAGAGAGTGTGTGAAATAAAACAAATATGGTATTGGCCTTCAAGAAATTCAACCACCTGGTGACATTTCTCTTATTTATTATGTTGGTTTGGTTTTACTATAAACTTAGTCTCCTACAGATCCATGCTTGCCTTCGGTTTGCACACACCCCTTTTCCCCAGATGGTTTTAAACATTCCCGTCTGCAAATTCCTCTACTGCAAAGAGAAGCAGGTGAAATTCTCATAGCTGGATAGGTACTCTGTGTGTGTGTGTGTGTGTGTGTGTGTGTGTGTGTGTGTGTGTGTGTGTGTGTGTGGTGTGTACAAATGTTAGGAACAACTTTTGGGAGTCCATTCTCTCCTTCAACCTTGAGATATGGGGATAAAACTCTGGCATTTGGGTTTGTGTGGCAAGTGCTTTTTACCTGCTGAGCTCTCTTGCCAACTCAAGAACATTGCATTAGCCGTACTTCCTCTTGCCATTACTCACAAACACATAGCTTCTCTAAGGACTTGTGCATGCATGTGTCTGTCGATTGGTAACTGGCCTTTGACACTCTGATTGATGTGACTGGTAATGCCTGAGAGTGCAGTCTTGGAACCAGCAAAAGAGGTGTTCACTGTGACACGGGTAGCCAGCGACAAGGTAAGGGTGTAGGGACATTGACAGCTGAAACAGCTTAGGGAACAGATTGTCCCCACCACCTTCCCTTTCCTTGCTTCCCCTTTTGGTAGATGGGAAAGAGTGTTTTCCTACAAATGGGGCTTGTGCTGATCCCTGGCTCCCTGACGCATCCCTGATGCTCTGCTGTTCTGCCTTTCAGAGATCTTCAGGGGGTCTGGTCTGGGAAGAACCGCTCCTTCCAAAAGAGGGGCCCTGGCTCCTGCTGTTGCTTTCTGGACTTAGAAGATGTGCCTCTTTCCTAGCCAGGGCACAAAACACTGACAAACGGGGCTATGTGCGGAGGGTCTGGAGGCCATCCCGGTTTGTCAGTGTCCTTGAGACCTGGAACAGAGTATAACTGTTCCGAGAAGAATGACAGCATTTCTCCATGAATGGCTGAAACATTTTACTTTAACCTTATACATCACAGCATGTTATTCTTTCTATTTGATCCATCTCTGGCTAATTTGCCATTAAAAGGATAAAACCTTGCAGTAGGATACTCTATGACCTCAGCCCCTTGGGGGAAAGCTTACTAAGAGTGGTGAGAATTAGGAACTTAGTTGTTTAAAACCTGGAATTGACCGCCTTGTGTCCTTCGAGGAACACTATCCCAAACTATTAATCTCTCCCTACTGCTGGGACTTATGACAACTGAAGTTCCAGTTCAATCCTGAGGCTGTCCCATGGGGTTTTGGATTCTAGTTCAGTTCATAATGCTTCCAATATGGCTACCTGTGCCTTCTCAAGACTTCCAGCAGAGAACATTTCCTGGTACTGCTTTCTCATATAAAAGTCATGAAGAGAGACACAGAGTGGGCTTTTCTTGGGTCTTCTTTTGGTTAATGATGATGATAGGAACAAAACGTTGTCCTACAGATGCCAGGAAGTAGATACAACTTTTCCAAGAAATCTATCTGGCCATCACCAGGCTGAAATCAGCTGCAGTCTGAAGTGACGGCAGGAGACAGTTTGTGTTTGTCAAAACACAAATGGAAGAGTTTGGAGGAAGCTGGGTGGTTTGAGGAGAGGTAGCCGGGGCCAGAGTGGAGAAGAACAAGACCCACCCAAAATTAATGTAAAAACAAAGCCTAAACAACAACAAAAGCCATTCCCTGACGTCACGTTAAAAGCTTGCTTCCAGCATCCCAAAGCATTTTCCCATGGCCTGCTCCCAGCTTCCCTTTCTCCACATTGCTATTCTCCGTACAAGTGCCACAGGGAGTTCTCAGCTTTCTAAGTGGAGGCTGGAAACCTCACGGCAGATGTGGAGACTGTCGGGAACCCACAGGCCGTGGGGTTGTGCTTGTGCCTGTGTCTTCTGGCTACCTTGCAAGGCCCATACCTGCATCAGAATAATTTTGGTGCCTTTTGATGCAGTGAGGATTCCTTCACAAGGTACTATGAAGATGTGATCACGGTCAAAGCTGCCTTAAGACCCACGGCGGGGCGGGGCGGGGGGGGGTGGCACACAGAGCCGGGTTGACAGCGTCACTGGGCAGGGGACAGCAGCGCTGGCTGCCACAACAATAGCCGCACTGTCTCTGCTCACGGTAACTCACATGAAAGCTCGACTGTGGCCCACGCTCAACACGAGATGCCCCATTTTCCACAATATTTGAGTTTCTGCCTGCTTTCTTCTCCCCTTTCTTCCCCAGATGCCAATCCCGGCGTATGCAC